TGTGTGTGTGTGTGTGTGTGTGTGTGTGTGTGTGTGTGTGTGTGTGTGTGTGTGTGTGTGTGTGTGTGTGTGTGTGTGCGTGCGTGTGTGCGTGCGCGTGTGCATGTAGCACTATGAGTCTCTTGCCAACAGAGCATCCAATAATGGTCACATCATCGACATGTACGCCTGTGCTCTTGATCAGACCGGTCTGCTGGAGATGAAGTGCTGTGCCAACTACACCGGGTACTCACACACACACTCGCCTGAATGTCCCCCCATGTTCCTGTTGTTGTTAACGGGTTTGGCCTGGACAATCTGCTGCTGCTGCTTCATAGGAAAAACACTTGTGTCCTCAGGGTTCAGGTTGTTGTAGTATGTAACTTCACCACTAGGGGTCTCTAAATATCTTTAAGAATAAGATAATCCTTTATTAGGTAATTTCCAGTGTTACAGCAGCAAGACTCACAAGACATCAGCAAGTAACATGGGACTTGCGTGCTTCATGTGTATTTTGTAAATGAGGTGACGTGTTCTGGACATGTTAGACACAGTTGTTAATGTGCGTTTGTGTCCAGAGGCTACATGGTGATGGCGGACTCCTTCAACACATCTCTGTTTAAACAAACCTTCCAAAGAGTGTTCACCAGAGATGTCCAGGGGTCTTTTAAAATGGCTTTCGCCGCCACACTGGAGGTCAAGGTATGATAACTACTCAGGTCACCGAGGCCACGTCCCCTCACCTCCACAATAACTACTGGGTTTTCTTTTTAAGACTTCCAGAGAGATCAAGCTGTCCGGAGCCATTGGACCTTGTGTGTCTTTGAACGCTAAAGGACCCTGTGTCTCTGAGAGTGTATGTAACCACAATACACAGCTGACCTTTGACCTTTTAATACAGTTTCATCTGCAGGGCAGGTTTACAGGTATGTGATCATGTGTTGACAGGAGATCGGTACCGGAGGAACATGTCAATGGAAGATCTGTGGTTTGGATCCCAGCACCACACTGGCTCTTTACTTCGAGGTCGTCAACCAGGTACAAAGATGAAACTTTAACACCTGACCTCTAACCTTTAGACAGCCTCAGTCTGGTCTGACACAAAATAAGCTCAGCCGGGGGGCTGAGCTTCACCATCTGTACAGCCTGAACTATAGAGTCAATCACACCTGGTACCTGTAGGGGTCAGCCAAGTGCTGCAGGACTAAAATCTAAATGTATGGTCGCCTTGATCATGACAGTGTTGCTGTCGGGGTTTTTGGTGATGACGGTGGACGTGTTGTCGATGTCGTGCTGATGCGATTGGTTTGGTGCAGGTGGAGGGCGAAGCTCTGTGGGCAAGATTCCAGAGGTTTTTTCATAAACATACCAACAATCCGACGCACTGCGGCTCTGTACCTGCTGGAGAGAGACGGACACAAGTTTATAGAAAATGATTCCAGGTGCATCTTAACGTTTAACTCTGTTGAGTCGCACTTACGTCTGAGTCATGCAAGTGATCCAGGGGTTGAGGGCGGCGCTGGTCAGAACCAGCCAAACAGAAAGGGCAGAGGTCACTGCAGAGGTCTGCTGACCGCTGAACGTCTCGTACAAACACACTGAGATGTAAGGCAGCCAGCACACCAGCACACACACTGAGAACAAGACAAGAAGCCAACTGAACACGTGACCACAGTCCGAACATGTGACCACATATTCTGAACAAGTGACCAGAGTCTGACCAAATTCAGCCAAGTCTTTGGGAACAGGTAGAATCTAAAGAGTTTGGACAAGTAGGTCTTATCAGGGACCAGTCAGAAAACAGCATGAACCCACCTGAGGTTGTAACCATGACGATGGAGCTCCTCAGGTAGTTGTTGGCAGGAACATAGTAGCAGTGCAGCTCATTGCACATGAATGTTCCCCTGCGAGCCTGTTTTCTGGCCACATAGACGATGTATCCATACAGAGAACACATGGTGAGGATCGGTGCCACAATGCCTAACAACATCCACAGCAACACAAAGTACTTGTTGTCAGGTGTGAAGCTCAGGCAGCACAGGAACCGTGACCTGCTGTAGGCATAAGTGCCGAACCCCAGCAGGGGCAGGATGGCATTCACCAGACAGAACAGCCAGACCAGGACCAGCACCACCCGACTCCGTCCGGTCGTCCAGATGCTCCGGTAGCTGAGGGCGAAGCAGATCTCTGTGAACTTGTCTACTGTTGCCCAGGTGAGCGAGTGGATGGAGGAAGTCTGCATGAGGAGGAAGATGAAGCCGCTGCCCTGACAGAGGACGCCCTCGCTCGGGTATCCAGAGGGCTGGGAGAGGCTGTTGTGGGCCCCGAAGGGGATGGTGGAGAGTCCGAGGGCCAAGTCGCTGAGGCTGAAACTCACGGTTAGGCCCAACATGTCGGACCGAAGATCCTTGTTGAGGAGCAGCACCAGCAGGAAGAGGAGGTTCCCACATATGGATGCTGTGCTGGTTATAGCCATCAGAGTGGCATACAGCGTCCTCAGAGCGTCTGCCATTTTCACAGGACAGGAAGTAAGTCGATTGCTTCACAGTTCAGACAGGATGCGTGAAGACGCTTTTACGTGTGACTTTATCCCAGATGTGTTGAGCTGCACTTCCTCTTATGACCACTAGATGTTGCTCTGAAAAATCTTCTCTCCTCAAATGCTAAGTGGAAACGTGATCAAGTGATCAAAATCCTCATTTGGGTCCCTCGACAACAACCAAAAATGTCTCCATGACAACAGATCAACGAGTTAGACAAAATCATCAAATTTCAGTTCCGGTTCATGTGAGGTGTCCAGCGAGAAGATGCAGGTTAGACCTGTGCAGACTGAGGGATCCGGGAACGACACCTGTGCACCAGTCAGAAAGGTCTCTGATGATGTCACACTGGACCTGGACACGCCTTTAGAAAGTCCCCAACTCTCTGATCACATGACATTGTAAACCTGCCGCTGGTTGTTTGGACTTGGAGATTAACATCATTCATTGGTCGAACTGTTCATCCTGCTGTGGATGAGGCAGAAACCAGACGACGTTCAGCTCCTTCCACAGAGACGTTTAGATATTGACGCTCCACCTGGAACCGATGCTCCAGTTAAAGATCAAACCAGGTGACCGGTCGATGTCCTGATTTTTGAAGTCATGGTTTCAGTCTGAGAGCGTCGGAGTCTGATCAGCTCCAAGTCTGAGGACAGACTGCAGAGGGCGTGTCCTGCTGAGAGAGTGTGAGTGAGTGTGTCTCTCCAGGAGCAGCGTTGCTGTGGTGCATCTGTCAGTCACCTGCTGAGATGATGAGAGGACACACACACAAACACACACACAGCGTTATCTGCTGTCTATTGTCAATAGTACCTGAACATCCAATATCCTGTGTGTGTGTGTGTGTGTGTGTGTGTGTGTGTGTGTGTGTGTGTGTGTCACATGTCACACAGCCTGACTCAGGTAATAACAGGTGTACAGGTGTGTAATCATCATCATCCAGCTGCAGTTGATCCTCAGACCACTAAGAGCTCAGGTGTGAAGCAGCCAATCAGAGTACAGGATTCTGAGCTCAGTTAAATGTTGTATTTCAGTTTGATGACATCACTTCTGATTTTAACCCTGAAGTTACTAATAATAATAATGTTAATATTAATAAAGTCTGTTTTGAACACTCAGCTGTTTTTTGTGTCGGTCTGAAATAGGAGAGACTTTTGTTTTTTTTCGCATGAATCCAGAAAGTGTTTTGATTGACGGCTTCATTGAGTCTAACGTTGGTGTCGTCATGGTAACCTGTATCATGAAGCTGCTGAAGACCTGGTGGTTCGTTAAAGCTACATCATCAGGTTATTGATTAACGATCAACTTTGTGTTGCAGCACAATGCTCCGATTCCTCAGGGAGGCCGTGGAGCGATCCAGTTCGTGACTCAGTACCAGCACTCGTCAGGACAGAGACGCATCAGAGTCACCACCACCGCCAGGAAGTAAGACAACCCCCCCACACACCTCATCATGTGCGATGTGTTTACAGACTTGTGAAGCTAGCGATGTGTTCAGTTCACTGACATCTTCTCTCGCCCCAGCTGGGCAGATGCTCAGACTCAGATACAGAACATCGCTGCGTCTTTCGACCAGGAGGCGGCGGCTATTTTGATGGCGAGGCTGGCAGTGTACCGTGCGGAGACAGAGGAGGGGCCAGATGTTCTGCGATGGTTGGACAGACAGCTGATCCGTCTGGTATGATGGCTGTGGTGAAAACATGGATGTGGACTCGCAACCAGTGAAGCTGATGTGTGTCATTCTGCATGTTTGTTTTTCAGTGTCAGAAGTTTGGAGATTATCACAAAGATGATCCAAATTCCTTCAGGTTCTCCGAGACCTTCTCCCTCTACCCTCAGGTGACCGGCATTCCTTCATACTCTGCTGTCACCTGCTTCGCTTCCTGTTTCTCACCTGCGTGTTTTTGTTTCAGTTCATGTTCCACCTGCGGCGCTCTCCGTTCCTTCAGGTGTTCAACAACAGTCCAGACGAGAGTTCGTACTATAGACATCAGTTCAACAGACAGGACCTGACTCAGGCTCTCATCATGATCCAACCGGTTTTGTACGCCTACTCCTTCAATGGGCCGCCAGAGGTACCTGCACCGGGGGGGGGGGGCACCATGTTCCTCATGACGTCAGTGTGACTGATGATTCAACTCTTTTCCTTTACTTTCCATCATCGCTCTTGATTCAAGTGTCTTTTTCCTGAGTTTAGGAACTATTGTGTTACTGTGTCATCTTCATCAAATTCAACAGGACAGTGAAAATCAACCAAATGAAACCGAAGCTGATTGTTTTGATGGTCTTGTTTTATTTTATTTATTTCATTCACACTAATAACACTGCTTGTTACTCAAATGATATCTGGAGCCTGTTCTCTGAAGTGAGTTCAACATAAACAGGATCTCTGTCAGTTATCCAGCTGAACATGACGCTGGTTATCAACTGATTAAATTAACTCAGGTTTTCAACTTCTGAGTATGTGCACATAATGTGGGTGGGTTTACTGCATGTGACCAATCCCAGACATGGACAGTTGACTGACAGCAGAGCCTCATGTTTCACAACGAGGATCAAACTGTTGAATCATAAAAATCCGAGGAGAGTACAGGACCCTGTTTGTCTTTGACTTCCTGGGACATCGACACACACCAGAGATCTGATTGGTTTATTCACATGATTCATGACTCAACACTGAGTCACGACTGAATCACAGTTACACTAATGAGGAGTTATTAACGAGTGATTGATCCGACTGACTGTGTTTCAGCCCGTCTTGTTGGACAGCAGCAGCATCCTGCCGGACAGAATCCTCCTGATGGACACATTCTTTCAGATCCTCATTTACCACGGAGAGGTACAAATAAAAATTACTTTGTTTTATAAAAACACATCGACATAAGTTACACTGCTCCAGAAAATGGCACATTTCAACTGTGTTCACATCTGTGTGTGTCTCTGTCTCTGTGTGTCTGTGTGTGTGTCAGACGGTGTCTCAGTGGAGGAAGGCTGGTTACCAGGACGTCCCCGAGTATGAAAACTTCAAACACCTTCTTCAGGCTCCAGTGGACGATGCTCAGGAGCTGCTACACAATCGTTTTCCGATGCCCAGATACATAGACACAGAGCACGGAGGCAGCCAGGTGGGGGCGCTAACACTCACACACACTATCACACACAAACACTGCGTGTATATGTTATAACAGCAAGTTCCACTTTAATTCATAATGTGGTTTCAGGCTCGTTTCCTGCTCTCCAAAGTGAACCCCTCCCAGACCCACAACAACATGTACACCTGGGGGCAGGTGAGACCCTGAACTTAACCGTTGACCCTTAGGTGTTCACAACAAGTTTTAACCAGTCGTTCTCTGTGCAGGAGTCTGGAGCTCCCATCCTGACTGACGACGTCAGTCTACAGGTGTTCATGGATCATCTGAAGAAACTTGCTGTCTCCAGTGCCGCCTGACCCCATCTGTCCTCACCTGTCCTCACCTGTCCCCCGCCTGTCCCCCACCTGTCCTCACCTGTCCCCCGTCTGTCCTCACCTATCCCCCACCTGTCCCCCGTCTGTCCTCACCTGTCCCCCACCTGTCCCCCACCTTTCTGCGTTTTGTGTAATGGTTTGTTTTGTTACTAACCCCGCCCACTGTCACCTGTCAGTCTCCAGGTAGCAGCCAATCAGCAGCAGCTTCAGGGCAGTGAGAGCCAATCATGTTGCTCTAACTAGTGAGTGACAACTGATCATGTGACTGTGGCGAGCAGTCGTGATCAAATAAAAGCCTCCGTGTGATTGGTCCATTCAAAGCAGTAGAAACAGCTAATAAATGAATCATGTGATCAATCTTGAACTTTAAGTCTTGAACCTGTTCACACCAGCAGGGGTCAGCTTCATGTCACGTTCTGACGTGTGGACGATGTCGGTTTTATTTTAGTTTCTAATAAAGTTTGAACAATTAAATGTGACTCCACCGTCTCTGTTATCATGGCGACCTACTCACTGGCTGTTGCCATACTTCAGTACTTTGGGTACTAACACTGTTAGTACTACATTACACACACCTCACAGCGTTACCATGACAGCAGCAGTCTTTTAGTCATACTTCCGCCCTCAATTCTTTGACTTCCTGTCATTCTTCCCTCACTTCCACCAGGAAGCATCTGGGTCATTGTGACAACAAACCTCCATTTCCACTGTTTGTTCAAATGTGTGTGTGTGTGTGTTTGTCTGGGTGTGTGTGTGTGTGTGTGTGTCCCTGCATCTTCAAACAAACCTGAACCTCCTGCAGGATCCTGAATTTAAAATAATGAATCTGAACCGAAGTCCATTCATGACATTAATGCTCTTTTTTCTTCGTGGTCTTTTTGTTGAGTTTCAGTCATTGAACTGTTTCTTTTCTTTCTTCCATCTTGTTCCAGTCTGTGCAGCTGCTGGTTTTGAAGTTCTTCTACTTCTCATTTGTAGAATCAATAAAGTTCATCTGATTATAGTTTAAAAAATGGTGAAATTCAGAATCAGGTTTGGTACAAGTGTCGTCTCAGAGTTTTCCCAGTGTTTCTCTAGAGGAAACTCGTTCGCCCTATCAAGACGCAGACACAACACATTTCCTGTGAGAGAGAGGGTGAGGCCAACTCCGTCAGTGAAGAAGAAAGTTCGCAGAAGAGAAGAAGCTGAAGAACAGCTGAAGAATCAGAGGACGAGTTTGACTGAAGGTAAGAAAACAATGAAACATGAAAAATAAAAACATTTTTATATATAGATATTATAACTGTTGATCTGTATACTTGTATATAAAAATATAATAACTAATATAATAACAGTGAATGCAGTTGTATCAGATGTTTATTTACTTACATGTTATAACTGGTAATTATTTATTTTATTCTTTTTCCTGTTTATACGATGATTAAACCCAATCGTTTTATGTGCTGATTGTGTTTCATTGAAATTCCTTTATTCCATAAAGTGTGTGTGTATGTGTTTTTCCTGTGATCAGGAGACAGATTTCTAATCAATGATTTGATCGATGTAGACGTGAGAATCATCTGCATATTGTGATAGAACACAAAGCAGGTTTCGTCAGTTTGACTCTTCAGGTTCTGTGAAATCTGTCTTATGGCTGAAAGGAGCACTGCCTTATTTCAACTTTTCATGTTCAAACAGAATCTAACTTTGTTTGGTTTTGATTCAGAACCATCCTCCGTGTGGGAGGACTCAGGAAAGATGGTGTCTTGGGTCACCTCTTGTTGGATTTACCTTTGGATCTTCGTCCAGTCTGCAAAACTCTCGGTTGACTCGGCTTCACCGACTCATTACACCATCCACAGCAACAAGGTCAAGTTTGATCAGGCCATGGAGGACTGTTCCCCCGGGGTCCTCACCACCCTCGCCACTGAGCAGGAAGTCACCAATGTCCTCGGGCTCATCTCCAAGTTGGTGTTGCCTCAGAGTAATTTCACATTTTGGGTCGGACTAAAGAAAGCCAAAGACAAATGTGTTGTCCCTACGTTGCCGCTGAGAGGATTCAGCTGGATCGAGGATGACAGTGAGGACTCACAGGGGAATCACTGGGCGAAGGAGCCACAGGACTCATGTACGTCGGTTCGCTGTGTGGTGCTACAGGGGGAGTCTGATGGGTTGTCTGTGACCAGGTGGGGGCTGATTCCAGTCACCTGCAGGGACAGTTCAGTTCATCAGTTCATCTGCAAACGGAGAGACAGACCAACAAGACCGATGTCTGAGGACAGAATGTCCACCATTAAACCTACAGCACTGGAACCAGTAACACATGAAGTTAAACTAGCAGAGCCAGAACCACCTGAAACTAAACCTAATCATCCCATGCAAGAACCAGAGCCAGAAACTAACCTGAATTTTGAAACCAAACCTGAACCTGACCCTGGACTTCACTCTGGATCAGGGGTGGGATCGAACTTGTGTCAGCATCCTGTAATCCCCAGGATGCGCTCTCTCCGTCCGGACTCCACCAACAGGATCCAGGTGGAGTGCTGGTCCACTTACCAGCTGGATCTCTACTGCCGGGGTCGTCCTGCTGTGTGGCGTCTACTGGATGACTCCCCCGCCAACCTCACCATCCTCTGTCAACCGTGCAGCGACGGCTTCCAGAAAGACGCGTCAGGAAACTGTGTGGACCTCGACGAGTGCACCAGCGCCCCCTGCAGACACACCTGTCTGAACACAGAGGGCTCATACAGGTGTGTCTGCTCCGACGAGGACGGGAAACATCACGACGAGGACTCACCGACCTGCACACGCAGGGTTACTCTCAAAGACGGTGGTTCCCTGTCGGGCATCTTGATCCCGGTGCTGGTTGCTGTGGCGGCGCTGGTGGTGTTAGTGGTGGTTGTTGCAGTGACCGTGAAGTGCTGCCTGAAGAATAAGATTTCTATGAAGAATGAAGAGAGCATTCAAATCTGACTCAGACCTGTTAGGACCTGGTTCAGACCTGACTCAGACCTGTTAGGACCTGGTTC